AGTTTAAAAATACCTGCATGTATCGATCATGAATATAAAACAACTTTAGAAGTTCGAGCAGTAAATGCTGTAGATATAAACGATATTTCACAAGACGAAAAAAAGTCTTCTTTTTCAGACGATGTAGTTATAAACGATTATTATGAAACAAATGAACTGATATGCTCAAATGGTAAAGAACCTATTACAAAATACCAAAACAGTTCTTTATATTACCTTTATAAATCTGAATGGGTAAAAGGTACTACATATGGTTGCCCCACAAATCGGCTTAGTAAAATAACCAAAATTGCACTTTGTGTTATTGTTTTGTCTTTAGGTGTAATGATGACTCTTTATATAGCACGAAAACAATACAACAAAATGGCGAATATAAATTGCACGCTACCTTCGGATTTTATAGATTTCGAAGTTCCTAAAGATAATAATGAAGTTTTTACGACCGAAATACTTAAAATAAAGAAAGATACTCAGATTGTTAAAATGAATACAAAGAAAGAATTTGGTTATTCAAATGAAAATCATCATTTGCTTTCCGCTGTTAATAATGAATTTGGTTATCATGCTGAGCCACATACATTCAGAAGTCAAAATATTAAAACCACATCTGTTAATGATATTAGTAGCATAACAGCGAATTCAGTGATTTACGAACGTACACATTCTAATGGGTCTTCTAGCTCGTTAGCTGAAAGCAGTTGTAGCAACATATCAAATACGTTTCAAAGCAACATCAATGGCAAAAGCAATTACAATGTTATTGAAGTAGTTGGCCTAAATATGGAAATATTACAAAAAGTTGGAGTCAACATCAGACCTGAAAGTGTCGTAAATTTGCAAGAGCATAATAGCGAAAATAATAATGACTGTAAGGGATTTAAAAAATCAAAATGTGATAATGGTTATGTTTCTGTAAATAACATAATTCAAACAAATCAATCATCCACATCAGACGAATATGTACCTTCATCGATTTTGATAGAAAATACTAATCAAGCATTACAAGATATTGATCATTACAGCCCAAAGATGGTAACTGCGCCTATTAATGCAAGTGGATATATACAGCATAATGAGTTATTTAAAGAAATATTTGAATTGTCTCCTCAATTAAGTTTGAATGATGATTACACAACAATAGAAGACTTAAATAAATTTAATTCCACTAGTAATGATTTGTTCAGCTCTGGTAAAATATCCGGTTATGTGAAACAACGTGACTTCACTGCTTATGGCCAACAGCAATCTATTTAAAAATTTATTCGATAAATCAAACGATCACAGATGTCTAGCAGTTAAATTTATTACAATATAATATTGAAGTAGATTTTCTGCTTGTTAAGTAATATCTAGTTAAAACCCCAGAACGAATAAATATAGACTTGCAATTTATTGATTTTATAATATTTTATATTACGATTTTTTAATATATTAGTTAAGTATAATTATAGTACTAACAGTACACAAATGGTAAATTTTATAAATACAGTTCAATCTATCAGAAAATGGATAAATGTATTATTTAATATGTCTATATAAATTTTAGTTGTACTTGAGAACATATTATAATAAGGAAAACAAATAACATAAAAATTCATAAGACTTGAAACTAATACATTCAAATTAACAAGAACAAAATTTCTACTACACTGGCCATTCATGTTAAAATTGTAAAATAAGTATTATATATCTAAGTTATGCATCCTTGTATATTTTTATTTTTTTGTTTTTAGTGTTAATGAAAATGTCTCATTGCTATTAATAAAAATTAATGAACTTTAAATTGAATTATATTTTTTATACAAAAGTTTGGAATATTTTAAATACTTTGAACAACACGGCGGCAAGCAAACCCTACGAACTTGTTTTGGAAGCGGCCGCTTCCTACCTTACGTCCCATATTTGGATAATAATCAAAATATATAAAAAAAGGTCATGGCCAGACCTGCTATGCAGTCATCATTGACCAAGTAAAAAAGTGATCAACAAAAAATGAAGGTGGTGAGAGAATGTATGTGATATACATATCGCACACCTTCTTCGAAAGAGGCAGAACTCGAAATTCCCCAATTTTCAGAAAACGCAAAAAATGTTTTGCACCGTAGTGTCATTCTTAACAATAAATCAAATATAACTGTTTTTTTCGACAATTTGCAACAATAAAAATTTTGCGCGTTGGTACACAGATAAACTATAAGCAAGTTATATACCGTAATGATCAATTTTTTTGGTCTTTGTCAAAACAAAATTGATCTTACAGTTTTTTTCATATATATATTTTTTTTTATATTCATCTTTATTCTGATAAATAAATAAAAAAAAATATATATTAAACACTGGCAACAAACATATGTATAAAAGAAATCAAACAAAAAAAAAAAAATAACAATGAGAGAAATAACATGTTGACTGATGTTTACATTTTCGTTTTCGCCAAAGCTGAGAGTGCAGCTTAAAATCGCAAGGTGAGAAAAAGAAAGAGGGGAAAGTTGAGTTCGATGGCCAGAGGAGAAAAAAAAACGGAGTCGAAATAAAAAAACAGTTTGATTGCTTTGGAGGTCGGGTGGTTGTTTTGTTTTGAGGCAATACGGTTGATACTCCGCGGCGGATGGTTAAGAAATGGGGTAATGAATTGAAATTAGAGGAAAGAAAATTGAAATTGGAAGAAAATAAATTCAAGTTACTTGAAAAACTTACGCAAAATATGTAAATATATTTATATATATTTTATAAAAAAAATATGTGTTAATATGTTAAAATCGCAAGGTGAGAAAAAGAAAGAGGGGAAAGTTGAGTTCGATGGCCAGAGGAGAAAAAAAAACGGAGTCGAAATAAAAAAACAGTTTGATTGCTTTGGAGGTCGGGTGGTTGTTTTGTTTTGAGGCAATACGGTTGATACTCCGCGGCGGATGGTTAGAAAAAAAGATAAAGTGAACAAAAGAAAAACGGCGGATTAATAATAAAAATATAAAGTGAATAAAAAACGACGGATTCTTAGTGAACTACAAACGTAATAAACGCAAACATTGAAATAAAGGAATAAAATCAAGTGTATAGTTGGTGACTCCAAGCCCTGTATTGTGTTAATTTTTTTACACTGAGGAAGGGGTATTTTGAGCTGCATTTGGTAGATTCATTTCATCGATAAGAAACTGGTGGGCTTACAAAGGAAGCCAACCACATTTTAAAACGGGTGTTGCTGACGATCAACGGCAGATGTATGTAGCAGCAGCAAAGAATTCCACAGCATGTGCTTATATTATGCATATATATTATATCAATTGTCATATTTTTTTATATAATTTTTTGTTTATATAAGTAATTGAATTTTGTATGTATAAATACCTATATAAAGTATATTACAGGCATTGTATTATTTATGTTATTACTTAGTATTGTATTAAGTTTTTTTTTTTTTTGAAATACATCTAGTGTGTAATAATAGGCGAAAAAAAAATCTTGAAAAATAACGAAGAAATAATAAGAATGGTTAAATCGTAAGTATTAAGCACATTGATTTTTTTATTATGTTAGTTATTACCAAGTAACATTTATTTTATTCTATTTAATTTGTAGTTTACATACGTAAAATTAATTAAACAAACATAATTTTTGAAGTTTTTCTAAAAAATTTTTTTATAGAAATACACGTAAACTATGGACCACAAAGGAAACGAAGTGTTTTCTAGAGTGCTACTTGGCACGAAAGGAAGAGTTTATGGAAACCAGAAAAAAAAAAGACTTGGATATCAACATGTACTTGAGGACATGATAGCACATGGAATTGCAGTAAGTATCGCATAACTTCTGCAATCATTTGAATAAAAAAATAAATTAAATTATATTAAAAAAATTTATTTTAGGATGACTTTACTCCAGTCTGCTTAGAAAGAAAAATGCGCACACTTCTAAGTGCATTTAAAGCAGCCAAAGATAACAACAGACGGACTGGTGCATCGCAATGCTTACCACCCTACATGGAGTTGATGAACGAAATATTTGGTGATAAACCAATTATTTCAAATAATCACACTGCGACGTTAGGGTTTGACAGCTATGTTGAAGACATAGAGGTGCTGGAAGAGTTGGAAATAAACATTGTGCAAACGCACGCTGAGCTATCGCCAACGCAAGAAGCACCAACGGAAGAATCGCCAACGCAAGAATAACCAACGGAAGAATCGCCAACGCAGGAATCTCCAACGCAGGAATCGCCGACGCAAGAATCATCAACGCAGGAATTGCAAATGCAGGAATTGCCACAACCTTCAAAATTTAACCGCAAAAGAAAATCTGTGCGTCAAGAATATTATGATAACAAATTATTTGTTAAGAAAAGAATAGAGGAAGAGAAATTAAAATTTTTTAAAGAAACTATGAATGAACTGAAGCAAAAAAATAATTAAGAAATGGGGTAATGAATTGAAATTAGAGGAAAGAAAATTGAAATTGGAAGAAAATAAATTCAAGTTACTTGAAAAACTTACGCAAAATATGTAAATATATTTATATATATTTTATAAAAAAAATATGTGTAAGTTAAAATACTTTGTCAATGATATGAAATAAGTTGATATAATATTTTTATTTTAATTAAAAATATGTTATATTCATTTTATGTAATATATATTTTTAAGTTAAGAATTTCTTTAATTCATATTAAAATTTGTACTATTTATTTTACTTTTATGTAAAATATTTTAAGTTCAAATAAGTTTCTAGTTGTAATAGTATAGTATTTTTATTTTCGTTCAAAAACATTATAATATTTTAATCTTAAAACTAATCTTACACATTAATTTATGCTATTAATAAATAAATTACAAAATATTTACACATTAAAATATTATTACTTATTGAACTAAGTTAAGTTAGTTTCTATAAATGTAACAAAATTTTCTATTTAAAAAATTACAATAAATATATTAATTAATAAACTTATATAACACCTTTTCTTAACAAATAATTAAAAAGTCTTTCCCTTCTATTATTACCATGATCTAATTCATGCTCTTCATCAGCTTGCTGTTCGTCATTGTTTTGACTATTTGATTCAGCATTCTCAAACAAATCATCCTTTATAATACAAATATTATGTAAAATACAAACGCTTACAACTATATTTGTTATTGCAGCCAAATTTGTCTGCTCCGTAAATTTTAATAATCTTCGGAAACGAGTTTTTAGTAAACCAAAAGCGTTCTCAACTACAATACGAGCAGATGAGTGTTTTTCATTAAATTTTTTTTGACTATCGGTTAAATTCCCATAATTTTTGTAAGGTGACACAATCCAGTTTGTAGAAGGATAAGCAAAATCTCCAATAATAAATGTCGAGTTGGGAAATATTTCTTCGTATCTTGATTGTGCCATTCTATATAGCTTTGACTTTCTCAAAACTCTGTAATCATGCAAAGATCCAGGTTCTCCGCAAGTAACTTGCTTGCGATTAAAGTAATCTTCTTCATGGTTTTGTGGTTTTTTAATGGGAATGTGTGTACAATCGATTGCTCCGATAATGCCTGGTATTTTGTGTTTACGTTCAAATGTATTTATTATATCTAATGCAGCGACACCTCGTGGCCATGATACATAATCTCGGCCTATGGAAATCAAAAACGTAGCAACAGTTTTTACTGTTGACCATGCTGTAGAAACTGACACTCCAAAGAGATTTCCTAATTGTCTATAAGTTACTGTATTACCAACGTACCAAAGATATATATAGACAGACCTTCTGCAGCTTACATGTTTAATACCACCACAATCTGTATCCGACAAATTCTCCGATTCTGAGAAGCGCACTAGAAATAAATTAAATTTGTAATTTAATCACAAACAACTCAATGTATATTTACAGATAAGGTCTTCCGCTGTACTTCGTCGTAATCTGAAGTGATTTTTAAAATCCATTGGGTTCATTGATTCTATACTTTCTTCAAAATTTTTACACTTTTCCTGCTCTTCTTCACTCTTGCTTGAATCTTCAGAGGAGGCTGTTGCGGCATTCATAACATTTAAAAAATCCGTGAAACAACTTGCATCCCTCGGCCGCTGCAAAACGGTGCTTTCTTCTCCCAACATCGACACCACCTACAAAAATTTACTTATCTTAGTGTTTTATTTTTAAATTTCCAATATTCTTACCATTCCTTTTAATTCCGTGTTCATTTTAATTTTATAATATTTTTTTAAAAATATAACTGATTTATATGCACATATACAAGATTTGCCGTTTGTCAAAACAAAACATTTGACAGATTGCAACAGTGATGCCAATGACTCGCGTGGCCAACATAGGCCAACATGCATTTTTTGCCGTACTTGCGAGCCACCGAAAAGGCCTAATGAAGCATATACTATATAAACTGTATTATTTATTTTATTAGTTTTCTTTTTGGGAATCTCTTGAATTGTTTATTCTTAGTTTAAATAGATATATTTTATTTTTGTACTGAACCCTGGTATACGCTGAGTGTACCCCGGCCGTGGAAAGGGCCGGAAAGGTCATTACAACACATTCAGGGTTTGAATTGCTTGCTGAGAATTAGCAAAAGTAACCAAATTTTACGTGTAATGTTTAACTTTCGAAGAATAAATGTTTTGTAATAGCACTTTTCTTATTTCCTCGTGACTAACAACAATATTTAATTGCTTCTCCAGACCTAATGCCAGTGTACTTACTTACTTACTTATGTGGCCATAACAACCCGTTACCGAGTTTCGGCCTGACGCAGCATGTCTCCTCAGGCGCCTCTGCTGCGTGCGCGCCTTCTTCAGCCTCGTATATCAAGTCCAGTTAGTGCTCCCTCAACTTGATCACTCCACCGGAGACACGGTCTACCTCTACGTCTCTTCCGCCAACTACTGCTTCAAACACCTTTTTAGCCGGAGCAGCCTCATCCATTCTCACGACATGACCAAGCCAGCGAAGCCGCTGGATGTTAATGCGCTGAATTACATCAATGTCGTGATAAAGCTCGTACAGCTCGTGGTTCATTCTAATGCGGTAGTCGTCGCCAACTCGTAGAGGACCAAAGATCTTACGAAGAACTTTTCTCTCGAACACTCCCAGTGCTGCTTCATCATTCTGTAATAACGTCCATGCTTGTGCGCTATACAGAAGCACAGGGAGGATGAGCGACATATAGAGCGTAAGTTTCGTTTGTCGAGAGAGGGCTCTACATCCCAATTGCCTACTGAGCCCATAGTAGCACCTACTAGCAATCGTGATTCTTCGTCTGATCTCCAGACTGACATCATTTGTATTCGTTACGGCGGCGCCAAGGTAGATGAAATCCTTGACAGATTCGAAAGTATAGTCGCCAGCCACTAGCCCGGTGTCCGAGCGACGCACATTTCTACCAGTAGCCGACATATACTTCGTTTTTCTCTCATTCACCGCTAAACCCATTCTTGCAGATTCCTTTTCGATAGCAGCAAAAGCAGCTGTAACATCACGCTTGCTACGCCCAATGATGTCAATGTCGTCGGCGTAAGCAAGGAGCTGGACACATTTGTAGAATATTGTTCCATTGCGATGAACACCTGCCCTGCGCATGATCACTTCCATGACGAAATTGAAGAGGTCACATGATAAGGGATCACCTTGTCTGAAGCCTCGCACGGTATGAAAAGGTTTAGAGAGACTCAATCCTACCTTGACGGAGCTACGGGTATTACTCAGCGTCATTCTGCAAAGTCGAATTAATTTTGCAGGAATACCGAGCTCAGACATTGCGGCGTAAACGCGATCCCTAATGGGGCTATCGAAAGCTGCTTTATAATCGACAAAAAGGTGATGAGTGTCGATGTTATGTTCGTGAGCTTTTTCCAGAATTTGTCGCAGTGTGAATATCTGATCAATGGTGGAGCGACCAGGTCGAAAGCCGCACTGATAAGGTCCAATCAGTGAGTTGGCATGTGGCTTCAACCTTTCACACAGTACAGTTGAAAGAACCTTGTACGCGACAGGTATTAGGCTAATCCCGCGATAGTTGGCGCAAATCGTCGGGTCACCTTTTTTCAAGACAGGACAAAGGGTACTGAGATTCCAATCGCTGGGCATACTTTCATCTAACCATATTCTGCAGATAAGCTGATGCATGCACCCTATCAGCATATCGCCGCCGGCCTTGAACAATTCAGCAGGCAGGCCATCTGCGCCTGCCGCTTTGTTGTGCTTAAGTCGCTGTATAGCAACACGCACTTCGTTATGGCTAGGTGGTGGAATTTCAACGTCATCATTTTCGATTGGGGATACAGAAGGCATTTCTTCAATGGCAGAGTTGATGTTGTTATCGCCAGATAGTAGTTTGGAGAAATGCTTCTTCCATACTTTCAGTACATTCTGCGTATCTGTAACCAGATTACCATTTTCGTCCTTACAGGTTGATGCACCAGGCTTAAAGCCTTGAGTCAGACGGTTGACTTTTTGTTAAAATTTACGGGCATCATTCCTATTTCTACACACCTCGATTTCCTCTCGCTCGCGCCTTTCTTGATCTCGTTTCTTCCGTCTGAATAGGCACCTCTCTACCTTCCTCATCTCCCGATATTGTTCATGCACGGTTCGCGTTGCTGCTGACTGCAGAGTCCTTTTATAGGCCGCGTTATTCGCAGCAGTAGCTTGGCGACACTCTTCGTCGTACCATTGGTTTCGCCGTGGGGGACGTTGTAAACCAAGGACATCTTCCGCTGTTGTGCGTAGGGAGTGAGAGATATGTCCCCACTGTCTACCGGCTTTATCGGGACGGGAGGGTTGGTTGTTTAATCGGCTAGAGAGCTGAGCGGCGAAGACTTCGGCTGTCTCTCGTGATCGCAGCTTATTAACGTCTAGTTTTTTCTGAACATTGGAGCGTACATTGTTGGCGGTACTAAGCCGCATGCGTACCTTGGCTGCGACAAGGTAGTGATCTGAGTCGATGTTTGGAACACGGAATGAACGTACGTCCAGCACACTAGAAGCGTGCCTTGCGTCAATCACGAAGTGATCAATCTGGTTTCGTGTTGCTTGATCGGGAGATAGCCACGTTGCCTTGTGAATATCACGGTGTGGGAATCTGGTGCTACATACTACCATATTTCGCGCCGCAGCGAAATCAATTAGCCTTAGACCGTTGTTGGAAGTTGATTCATGGAGGCTAAATTTTCCGACAGTTGGACCAAAGACTTCTTCTCTTCCGACCTTTGCATTAAAATTCCCGAGAACAATTTTAACGTCGTGGGCGGGACTGCGGTCATAAATTTCCTCGAGTCTCGCGTAAAAGGTATCTTTGGTCAAGTCGTCCTTTTCTTCTGTCGGCGCGTGAGCGCAGATTAACGTGATGTTAAAAAATTTTGCCTTGATACGGAGTGTGGCAAGCCTTTCGTTCACCGGTGTGAA